CGGCGCCCCCTTCACCGCCGCGGCGGCTGCCGGGCCGCTGCCTTCTCTGCCCCGGGTTGAGGGACCGGTGTTTGAGGGGGGAGCTGGTCCCAGGGCCCCCCCTGACTGCCTTCCCCGTGTGCAGGAGCGTGACTGGGAGAAGCCCTGCCAGAGGCCTGCGTACGACCGGATCCTGCCCCCCAGCTTCTGCCGGAGCCATGGGGATAGAGGAGGAGGTGGAGGCCATCGGCCAGACGCTGGTGGACGCAGCCCAGCCCCTGCCCGCCCGGTTTCGGGCCCTTTTCACCCTGCGTAACCTGGGCGGCCGCGCGGCTGTGGACTGGATCAGCCGGGCCTTTGGGGATGGCTCCGCGCTGCTGAAGCACGAGCTGGCCTACTGCCTGGGCCAGATGCGGGATGAGGCGGCCATCCCTGTGCTCATCCGGGTGCTGGAGGACACCAGCCAGGAGCCCATGGTCAGGCACGAGGCAGGTATGATAGCAGCTCCTGTAGCTGTGGGTGCAGCAGAGGGGTCCAGCCTGCAGCTGGGACTTGTAGGTGCTTCCCCCCATAATGGCCTGATCCAGCTTGGGCGTCATGGCTTGGAAAACCTTGAGGCATGTAACCACCTCACCACATCCCCTAGCCAGTCCCAACTGGACGGGTTGGCCAAGCTTTCCCCTTCCTGCTGGCCAGGCTGGCTCCTGCCTTGTTTATTTGCCAGGCTGGCTCATTTAGGATCGGTCAGAGTCAGGCCTGTGTCACCACTTCAGAGCAGGGCCAGGCTTTGCTGGAGGACACAGCAGGGTGTCCTTGATAACATCCTGACACTTTCTTCCCATGTCCTTCCTTCAGGTGAAGCCCTGGGTGCGATTGGGAATCCCGATGTGCTGGATATTCTGAAACGCTATTCAAGTGATCCCGTGGTTGAGGTGAGGTTCGCTGGGGGGTCATTTCCTGTGGGGTGCAGCGCTGCTGCTCCAGGAGAGTGAGGCAGGTCTCCTGGGCAGCCCTTGGCTGGGGACAGTAACACCAGGAGTGGCATCCTGCTGTGTGCTGGTGCCCAGCTGCCATCGGGGAGCTCTGTCCCGCAGCCAGGGCTGTGTCCCTGTCCCTGCAGGTGGCAGAGACATGTCAGCTGGCAGTGAAGAGGCTGGAGTGGCTGCAGGAGAACAAGCAGGAGCCGAATGCCAGCCCCTACCTCTCTGTGGATCCTGCTCCTCCTGCTGAGGAGACGGATGTCGCCAAACTCCGTGAAACCCTCCTGGATGAGTCCCACACCCTATTCGACCGCTACAGGGCCATGTTTGCCCTGCGAAACCTCGGGGGCCAGGCTGCTGTGCTGGCGCTGGCAGACGGTAAGGGCCAGCATGAGGCTGCCTGCAGTCTCCTTGCTGTAAATCTGTGTAGGTTAATCCAGGATTGGCCCTTCCCAAATCCAGGGCTGCCAGAGCTGCAGGGCTCCTCTTAGGCTCTTCACACATTTGTTTCTAGAGCTGGTGTCCCCCTGCTTGCTTGCAGAAGCCACATCTCAAAGTGCTTTGTGCTTTCTGGTATTTCACACCTCTCTTGCTGTCCTCCAGGCCCCCTTTCTCTGTGGGTAGAGGCGGGGAGAGGGCACAGTCTGTAATGTTGGCTTGGGACCAACTGATCTGACCAGGTGGGACTTGGCCCCAGGGTGTCGTAGTCTTGCTCTCCCATTCTGGAAAGTCAGAGGCTGCCAGCCTCACCCTGCAGCTTGGGAATAGCTCTGGAGATGGGAGTGAATGTCTCCTGAGTGGGGATGGGGCAGAGCACAGCCCGGGAACTGTTTGGACCCACTCCCCAGCCCAAGGGAAGGAGGCGGCAGCTTTCCAGCCACCTGGGACGAGCTGAGGGCGCGTCTGCACTGTGAGATGAGGTGTGCGGGGATCTGTCAGCTCCTGCTATGGCTGCTCAGTCCTGCGGCACGGGAGGCCTCGAGGCTGTGGCTGTGATGCCAGTCTGCCTCAGCCTGGCGGCGCAGGGGTCCCACGGGCAGTGCAGGCTCCCCGCGGCATCTGAGGGTGTTGTCATGGGAGTGTGTCCCTACGCTGCTGGGGCTGTGCAGGGTCGGGGAGCAGGGTGGGACAGCCCTTCCCCAAAAGCCCCCACAGCGTCCCCCAGCTTTTGGGTGGGGGGTTCTTTCCAAGCCTCCCCGGGCGCTCGGGGAGCAGTGGCAGCTCACTGTCGCCTCCTCCCCGCAGGACTGCGCTGCGGCAGCGCGCTCTTCCGCCATGAGATTGGGTACGTGCTGGGCCAGATGCAGGATGAGGCCTGTGTCCCGCAGCTGACGGCTGCGCTGCGCAGCCGCACCGAGAGCCCCATGGTGCGCCATGAGTGTGCCGAGGCCCTGGGCTCCATCGCCCGCCCCTCCTGCCTGGAGACCCTGCGCGCCTTCACCCACGACGAGGAGCGGGTGGTGCGGGAGAGCTGCGAGGTGGCGCTGGATATGTACGAGTATGAGAACAGCGCCCAGTTCCAGTACGCCGATGGGCTCTGCAAGCTGCAGGCCTCCACCTGAGCCCCAGCTTGAATGGGGGGCCGGACTGGGTGGGCTGCCTCCCCCCCGCCCCGGCCCACTGCGTTTTCACAGCTGCCTCCATTGATGTGGATCTGTGCCTTGCTGTGATGGAGGTGGAACTGGATTTTCTCTCTGGCACAATTACAGCCACTTTCTCCCTCCAAATCCAGGCTGAGCTGCTACTTGCCCCCTGCCCCGCCACCCCCTGTTTCCTGGATCTGCCCCTTTTTCCCTGCCAGGATCAGCACTGTCTGCCCGCAGCCTGGCTCAGGGCTTGGATCTGGTGGGCTCTGCTCTGCACGTCGGAGCCTGTTGTGGCTGTGCAGGGCCTGGGGCTGCTCCGGGCTTGTGCTGCTGCCGCGGTTCAGTGTGAAACAGCTCCACTCTCCCTGCCTTAGCTCTGCTGAGAGGGTCAGGTCTGGCTTTGGGCACCCACTCTCATAGGTTGTAGCAGTGCGATGCCTTGAAATCGCCCTTCGTACTGGTGCTGAGTCGGGTCCCTCCTTGCCTTTGTGGTGGAGGAGCTGCTGTGGGTTTGGCCTCTCCTGTTGGGGCAAGCCAGGGCTGTGCTTGCGGCAGCCTTTGCCCTGGGATGGGGGTTGTTTCATGGCAAAGTTTGGAAGATTTGGCTGCACTGCTGCTTTCTGCAGGGAACGGCGCTGCCATTAGGGCTTACAGGGTGAGGCAGGGCCTGTCCAGACTTTCCCCTGCATTTAACCAGACCTGGGAGGGCTGAGGCTGGTGTCTGCTGCCGTCACCCAGCACCCAAACCCCCAGGCAGCTCAGTGTGGGCACGGGGGGCTGCCAGGGAATAAAGCTGGGGGGGAGAGCTCCTGCGTGAGTTGAGTTGTGATTTAATCCTTGCCCAGATGTGGGATGCACCCAGCTCCTCTGTGTCGGGCCTCAGCAAGGAACCCTGGGGCTGCCGTGATAGAATCATAGAACAGAATCATTTAGGTTGGAAAAAACTTAAGTCAAACTGTAATGGGAGCAGAGAGCATGGGGTGGGGTCCCGGATGGCATGGGGTAAGCCCCTCTTCCCCCCCCCCCTCCCTAGCAGGTCTGGAGAGGGGGTCAGACCTTGCCCATGGGCTGCCCAGGAGCCCCCACGGTGCTGCCTGGCGGGGGGGCCAGTGGAGTCCCCCTGCACCCCGGGGACTGGCATCCTGCTGACAGGGCTTTCCCCCTTCACCCAAGTCTCCCTGTGAGTTGCTTCCAGGCTCAATCCTCTTAGTCCCTAAAGCTGCTGCTGCAGGCGCCTCGGCATCCACGGGGCTCTGGTGCTTGGGGACGCAGCTAGAGCGGGGAGCCCCAGCCCAGTCTGGCCCAGTTCAGGGTGCCACGGAATGGGGTTTTACTGGAGACATGATTGATTTTGGTCTGTACATGCTTACTGAAACGCAGACACATCTGCCCAGCTGCTGTGGATGGGGGGTGGTTTGTGTGTGATGCAGAGGAGCAGGGCCACCGATCCTCTGTTCCTCAGCACTGGAGACAAAGACTTGATGTTTTCACACGTTCAGCAGCTGTTAGGGGGCTTCTTGCCCTCCCGTCATCCTCTGTAGCCCCTGGCTCCCAGGCAGGACCCAGGCAGCACCCACCGCCAAGCTTTAGGGTGTCTGCACCCATGTGTGTCCCCTGCGGGCGGTGGGGCGGGGCGGTGGGATGTGCCATTCCCCCTTGCGATGTTATCGGTGTGAGGCAGCTGCCCGCTCCGCGCCTGGCCCTTGCTGCCATGTGGGCCTGGGCACGCTGCCTGCGGGCTCCCCGGTGTGTGCCCGTGGGTTTGCCCCTGCTTATCTCTCGGACTGCTCCAGCCCTTCCTCTCCACAGTTCTTCAGCGTTTTCACAGGTAGTTCACTCGGACCATGCAGGCTTGCTTGCAAATCTCTCTCTGCTGGCATTTGCCTCCGCTCCCTCAAATGCCTTTTAAACCCAAATTGGAACAAAACTGGTGTGTTTGCAGCCAGGATCTTGCTGAGGTGACCTGGGTGGAGGAGAACTTGGGTGTTGAGCCCTGACTTGGCACCGAGCCATTGTGGGCACCTTCATCCTTCCCCTGGCTCGCCTGCCCTGGGAAACGTTCAGGTTGGTTGGTTTTTTTTTTCAAGGCTGCTGCTGGTCGAGGCCAAACCCTGCACCCTTCTGGTGCAGAGCACATCGCTTTTGGGCGATGCCTGGACCCTGCACCCCTCTGCAGGCTGCTCCGTGCCGGAGGAGCAACACTGGGCACCAGGGTGCCACACGCAGCAGCCGAGGCGAAGCTCTGGGCAGTGACAGCCCCTCGCTGTGGGCCGCTTGGCTGCAGCCGGACTCTGCGCAGCAAACGGGGCCCCGTGGGGCCTCCCCCCCCGGCATGGGGCTGCAGCGGCTATCCCCTCCGCCCATCCCCTCCCTGCTCGGAGGGCGCTGTGTCCTCCAGGACAGGGCACTGCTGCCGGGATTTCACGCCATCTGCTCAGGGGATCTGGGACTTGCCGAGGGATTTAACCAAGCACAGGGGAGCGGGGGAGGCCTCAGGGTGTCCCTCCCCATCCCTGCCTTTGGGCTTTCTCCAGCTGCAGAGGATTCCCTACATCTGGAAGGGTGGAGGTACCTATGGTGCTGTCAGAGGGGTAGATTCTTGGGACCCTGAGCCATGTCAGAGCCTGCTGGTCACCCCCCAGGCTGAGCCTGCAGGGCTGTGCCCGGATTAGCAGGTGCTAAGCTCCTTCCCGTGGATGCTCTGTCCTTTGGTGGCAGCGGGTGAGCGGCTCCCTGTCACACGGAGGGCGAGTGGCACTGCCACTGGGCATGGGAACCCCGCTGTCCCCGTGAGCTGCTGCCACCGAGGAGCTTCACAGACCCTGATGCCACTTCTCCCCTGCAGCCCCCTCTGTGGCACAGGCTTTGGGTTTGGGGGGAGCTGGCAATGGCCCTGGCAGGGGGCACCCCACTCCCTGGCACCGGGGAGGCGTTGGGGTCACGGCACTTGCTGCAGTATCCCCCCGAGGAGGACGGGGTGCTGTATGTGGACTACAAGCCCCCCGCCCTGGACAGCATCCGACTGCCCCGCTATGTCGTTTACCTGATGATGGGAGCCACCCTGGTGCTGCTGGTGGTATACGCCATCATGGGGCACCTCATCAAGGACCTGATGCACGACTTTGCTGGTGAGTGCTGCCCAGAGCAGGGCTGAGCTCTGGGGCTCCTTATGGGTCTGGGTGGGGAGCAAGGGGTGTTCCCCAAACCTGGAGGCTTTGCCGTGGCGGGGATGCGCTGCTGATGGCTCTGTGTCTGCCCCCACAGACTGGGCGTTTGGGCCCAAGCCGGAGGAGGAGAAGGTGGTGATGGCTAAGGGGACCGTGCCGGAGGTGGAGTGGCTGGAGGAGGAGGAGGAGGACAGGGTGCTGGCAGAGGTTAAACCGGAGCGTGAAGGCACCAGTGCCCTGCCTGGCATGGACATCCCGCTGGGGCTGCTCACCGCTGCCCCACGCAGCTCCATCACTTTCGCTGACACCCCCAAGAAAAGGTTTTTCTAGGGCCGGGGGACTTGGCCCCACCACCCCCAGGACCTCTCAGCCATGCCTGGCCACTGGGTCACAGCACGGCCCCTGGCCCCTGACTGGGGTGCAGGGGTAATGCTGCCTGGTGCTGGCACGTGGCTTCACCCGTCCTCAGCACAACCCCACACGCTTCTCTCGGGGCTGCTCTTGCTGACCCCCAATAAAGCAGCCTGCTCCAGCCCCGCTCGCTTGCCCCTTAGCCAGGTGTGGGCACAGGGAGGTGGCAGGGCTGGGACACCTCGACCTTCCTCTGGGGACAGCAGCATCCCTCAGCGGAGCTGTGCTGGCCCCTGGGCCCGGGTGTGTGGGGAGGGAGGAACAGACATGTGGGTGTACACGCATGGAAAAGTGGGTGTGGAAGGGTGGGTGCTTGGGGGTACAAACCCCTGGCAGGAGGGAACACCCCAGACACGTGTGGGGGCCGGGGGCACAGTCGTGGGCACATGCGCACACACGCACACACACACACACGCCTACGGGGAGACCTATGTCAGTGCAACCATGTGCTGACGTGCAGGAAGGGACAGACCAACAGCTGAGGTTGGATTTGCTCCTGATGGACCCCTGGGTGCCTTGACACTGCCAGGCCATGGCCCCCCCGCAGGAGGGCAGAGCTCTGTGGCACCCACAGCCAGTTGTGGGGGGAAAAGCACCCATGGGCACCACTTGGGTTCTGGGTGGGGGCACTGGGGATGGGGGATGCACTGTATGGACCCCCATTCTCTGCCTTAAACCCAGCCTGGGGCTGGACACCCCCCCATCCCTCCAGTGGGGACCCTGTCCCCATGTCCCCAGGCTCCTTCTTCACCCCTTGAGGAATCGCCATGGGCTGGGTGGCCCTGCTGAAGCCCACGGTGCAGCCCTGGGGTGCCACCAGCCACCCCGTGCCTCAGTTTTCCCTGTGCCCCGGCAGGTGGGGGCTGTGAGGCAGAGTGGAACAGCTTGCCATGCCAAGCTCTCACTGATAACACCGTTAATATTTATCTCTTCATGCTACCCAGGCACTCCCCTGGGCATGTGACAGGGTCCTGCTGGCACCAGCCGCTGCATCTGGGGCCCAGCTGGGATGAGAGCTGGGAGGTGGTCTGGCACTGTCCATCTCCCCGCTCTGCTTCCAGGACATGACAGGGTGGGGACCATGTCTGTGGGGGTGGGACACTGGCCTGGATCTGCCCCAGCAGGGACAGGGGTGCAGTGCCCCATGGGCAGAGGGAAGAGACTGGGATGGGGTAGCAGGAGGGGTGGGCACTCTTCTGCATGTCTGTCCATCTGTCTGCCCATCCATCCATCCATCCATCCATCCATCCATCCATCCATCCATCCATCCATCCATCCATCCATCCATCCATCCATCCATCCATCCACCCGTCCGTCCATCCGTCCATCCGTCCATCCACTCACCACCCCCCCCAATCCATCTGTGCGTCCCTCCCTCCCCCATCCATGCACTCACCCAGGGAGTGGACCCCAGCCACGAGCACACGGGGCTGCCACTGTGATCCCCGAGGTGGTGGCTGCTGGGTGCTGGTACCTGAGCCACGGGCAGAGGTGCCACCTCCCAAGGGTTACAGGAGCCACGTTGCCATGGCACTTGGCAGCACTTGTCCTCTTGAGCCCAATAAAAGCTGCCTGTTGGCCCTGGGGGCAGAGAGCAGCGGCGCAGTCAGTGCCAGAGTGGCGTGGGAGAGGAGCCCACCTTGGGGTGCAGGATCTGGCTGTGCCCCAGCCCTCTGCCAGCTTCCACCCTAAAATGCCGGGGGTCTCGCAGCCCCTCTCACTCGTGGTCCTGCTCGTCCTCACTGCCACTGCCCAGGGACAGGCTGGTAGGTGACCCACAGCCCCTCTGTACCCCTGTGCCCCAGGGGGGTGACTATACCCACCCCAGGGCATCTGATCAGCTCCTGGGACACCTTCCCAGTATGACTAGCCTGTGCCAGTGCCCTGGCAGCAACCATTCTGGCGGCAAAGCAGACAGGTTTGGGGGTACCTGCTTGCTGTGCCCACTATCCCCCACCATGCCGGACACCCCCACACTCTTCCAGGGACGGGTTGGCTGTGTTGGGGGTGGCTTCCTCAGCACCTGAGGGGTGGGGAGGGGCTGGTGATGGGCACCTGCCAATGTCCCCTGGTGTCCCCAGTGTCCCCTGGTGCT